TGCAATCCTACACAAGCATCTCTTGAGATTTGTTTTTCCCTCCAGGGAACCTCAAGAGCTGGAGTAATTTTGCTTAAGATCTAGGCCTAAGAAGTGGGATATGGGGCAACAGTATCTTAACACGAAGCTGAATGAAGGAGTTTTTCCCAAAACACAAGAAGTCTGACACAAAAATAACTTAATAGAAAAGGCTTTGTATTCTTTTGGCACCAGTTTTAAAGGCACTGCATATTCACACTCCCCAAATCATGTCAGTAATACCATTTACATCCCCCACCACACAAGAATTTTACCAGAACAACACTCTCATTCATATGAGATTGCTGCTGTTGCCTCCTAAATACAATATACAAAAAAGTAAGAGGTAATAACAAATACAAACAACTCTTTACTTTGTCTTGTAATTCCAGATGCGGACAGATCTATCCAGGGAACACGTAGCAAGAATAGGTTTCCAAATACACATGTCCAGACCAGTGACTGAATTAGAATGCAATGGGAAATTCATATATGCAAAATAAGATATCTTCTCCTGAGAAGGAATGAGAACATGAAGAAATCACAAATATTTCATTGCAGGCAGTAAGGCAGATTAAAAAAAAAAAAAATCTATCATGGGTCTTTGCATACAGTTGTAGAATAGATTTGAGGGAACCACCTAATCCTTTCACTGCACTGGTCTGAACACAACAATGCTAAAAGCCTAACAATGTCAGTTTTAAGTTTATAACTAATAATCAAGAAAAGTGATGCAGGGCAGAGCAGTGAGAGCAGAACATAATTGTAGGTATATAAAAAAAGGCAAATTAGATAAATAAATAAAACTGGACCTGAAAAAATTCAGTTAATACCTTCTGGTCAGGCAGATACTTTAAAAAAATCAAGTGCTAGTGATAGAAAACTTCACTAGGATGTCTAGCTACCACATGCTGGAAGTGAAGCACCAATAAAATTTTAGGCTGCATGTGGAAACAGAACTCCTACCTACAACTCCTATTCCTGTAAAGATTTTTCTGTATGCCTGTACACAGGTTAGGTATACTCAATTACATAAAAGTCTATTTCAAGATAATACATTTTTCACTTATCTTTGTGTTATTTAATTCCTTCAGAGTAGGGAAGGTTTTCATTATGTTTGTATTTCATAGAGAGGTTTCACTTCTAGCTAAGACTTCAATAACTATCATTTTGGAGTAAAAGAAGATTCCCATGGCTGTTCCAGCTTTATCATTGCAATAAAGTTTGTGCATATTACAGTGGAGCATGAACTACAGAGTTACATTGAGGATATCTCAGTTAAAGCCTGAGTGAAGTGGTTCAGCAGTAACAGGCACCCTTTAATGGTCTTAAGTGTTCTCTGTCATTCTGCTGAAAAGCTTCAGATATTCACAGGGAAAGAGGCTTGAGCAAGGGGCTAAAAAACACTGCCCTCAGAGAAGCACACAGAGCACTTCAGATCTTGAGCTTTAAGGGTCCATTTGAAGGATTTAATGAGAATGCATCACAGAAAACAATACTGACAGGCCTGTATCATTACAATACTGGACATGAAAGCTGTGGAATGAGACTGAACTGCACTTACCCTTATAAGTTTGGTGGAAAACATAGTAAACATGTAGATCTGACTTTTATTTGTGCTAACGACCATCATTTCCTCAGAAGGGCTGAAGCATATACATGCAATGTCCTGTCTGCTTGACTTTTTTGGCTCAGTGCTAAACTGGTCTTGAGGCAGCTGCACAAAAAAGGCATCCCATGGGTTGTGCCAGGTTTCCATGTTTTGGTAGTAGGCATGCACACACACAAACTTTTGTTGTAATGCTCCTCTAATAAGCACATTCATAATATCAGCAAGACAACTTGGATATTTAATAGCACATAACTACTGCAAGGCATGGAATAGAGGACAAGAGAACAACCTAATGGTATTCATAACATCACAGCTGAAATGAAGTATCAGGGGACACTTCAGCAGTAATGTGAATTACTGCAATAAACAAGAATTAAAATGGTAGTAGAAAAATATCAAGAAAAAAATAACAAGTGTCAGAATGAGAACTGCCTAAAAACTGTGGTTAGAATAAGAGCTCTTTGTAATGTATCATTAAGGTAGATAAGTCTTATTACAGGATCTCATGCATAGGGAAGATATGACCTTTTAGAATGAGAGTATGGAATCTTGACTAGATCGTTAGAGTTAAATATTCTTATACAGAGATTTCAGTAGGTCAATGCATACAGTTTGCTATAGAACAGTTAAACAGTTAGAAGGATTATTTAAGTGTGCACAGGTCTCATGACAGCTGTAATAAATACCTGAGGGGAGAAAAGCTCTCCTTGGAAAAAAAATCAAGTAGCCAGGTTCTTCAAAACTGATCTAAACTACCTCTTAGTCCCCAAAGTCTCCACAAATAAAAGTTTCTTAAAGTTTTCCTAAAGTTTAGCACCCTCAAAGCACATTTTATATGTGGGAAGGAAAGATACAGAACTACCTTTCAAAAGGTCATCAGGCACTGACTTTCAGTGTTACCTCTGGCAACTCCTTTCAACGTCACCAGGACAGTTAGCTAATCCTTACAATGCAGTTTAGCAGTGTGCTAAAAATTATTATTCATAACTGAATCAGAAACACAGTTCTCTAAACAGGGCTCTGCTGCATAATTGATTACAAAAGCTTTTTTCCTCCTTACCCAGATTTCTTGTCTCTCCTCATAGACTTCCTTTTCACCAGTCTTCTCAAACAGAAGAACAACTCCTGGGCTAGGTGAACATGCAAAACCTTTGGAATATGCTGCAACTGCAGATATTTGAGGCAAAGAATGCTGTTGTAAATCATTATCTTCAAAGGCCAGTCCACTAGAAACACCAGAAATGCAATTAGGAAATCCATAAAGACTTAAAAATAAAGAAGCACAAATAAAAAAATGCTAAGCAGCAGCTGACAAACTGGACAGGAAGGAAGTAACTAATCCTGCAAAACCATGGGACTATTACTAATAACAGTGAAGAGATTTACCTCTCATATTCATTTGTTGTATCTTCTTGATTCCTGGGTGTTTTTCTGTACTCCAAACTTTTCTCCCAGTGCAGCTCTCCAGTTTCAAACAAGCTAAGTTTGCCTGTGTCAGTGCCACATATAACTTCCTCCTCAGACAGCCAGGCGTGGCACAAGTAGTTTTCTGGCTGTCCCCTTTGTAAATTCATCTGCTTTAAATATCCTTCACTGTACTTGAAAAGTTTAAAAAAGCCATTTCCAGTGATACAAACCTGGGTATTATCTTGAGGATTAAAGCTCACCTGTGGAACAAAAAAGAGAGGAAGTATTTTTTCCAGCTATGTTCATAAATAAGCAATGATTATTCCTGAATACTTTCTGTACCAGATACAGGAAAATAAACAAAGGAAGATGGTTAATAGAATATTGGAATACCAAATATTACCAAATACCAACAGAATACAGGAATACCAAAGAGAGTAAGAATTAGCCACCATAACTCCAGACTGCAGTTTTCCCCCTTTGAAAAGTGTGTCTATTAAAGTTAAATTACTAAAGTAAGGCCAAAATACCTCTTTACTACTGATTAACAAATTTTTCCAGTAACAAGCTTCCTGAAAAGTGGGACCATCTGTTCTCAAAAGGCCAGGAATAAGTTCTGTATACCTGTGTTTCAGGCTAACATGAATTCACATAATTAGGTGTTTATTTGTGAAAATTATGGAATAGCCATCTCAATACTCAACATGAAGGATAGGAAGAGTAGTTTGAAGTAATTTTTTATGCTTAATGGGACTTTACACAGCCAGTCTTTACATTCCCCTCTCTTTAAGAGTTGAGGTCATGAATTCAGTAGGTCAGCCAACCTCTGCTTGTAGCTGTACCCCAGAAAAAATGTCAGCTGGAGTTCAACCAACACATGGACTGAAACTACCAGACCTCCCTACTACATAAAAGAATCTAAAAAGGAGCACCCAAACCTGGATGCAGAAATTATTTGTGCCATCAGCCTGCTCCTAACCACTCTTCTCCTCCACTCTGAACACAGAAGACTGCAGGAAGGAAAAGGTGCAGAGCGCTTCCAAGAAGTGTGTTACAACTACTGGGCACAGCCCATATATTTAGTGTTTGCTTTTGCAGGGACACAAGGGACACACTGCACACTCACTGGCCTGTTGTACTGGCACTGTGACATAGATCTCATGTGATATAAGAGAATCTCATATGATACAACAGATACAGACATGAGAATGTCTATTATGGGTCAGTGCAAAACTTTATTTAGCTTAGTGTCCTATTGCTGAGGGAGGCTAACAGCAGATGCAAGAAAGGTCAGAGAAACTATGAAATATACATTGTGGAGCCCTCTCCTCCGGAGTTCGGAGCCGTTACCTGGCAGGGGCCGCCGCCCGCGGCCTGCAGGCGCACGGCCGCCGCCAGCTGCCGCTTCTCCCACAGCCAGCAGGCGAGGTGGCCCTCGGGGGGCGCCGTGGCGGCCGCCAGGAGCCGGCAGTCGGGGGAGAAGGCGAGGGACACGGCCTGCCGCGCCGGCAGCTCCTCGGCCGCCAGCACCTTGCGGCGCCGCGCCCGCTCCGCCGTCAGCTCATAGACCGCCAGCACCGGCTGCTCCCCCGCCGCCTCCGACAGCGCCAGGAACCGCCGGTCGGGGCTGACGGCCAGCGCCTGCACGCCCCGGCTCTTCTCCGTGCCTGCGGGGAGCAGAGCGGTCAGCAGTCGGGACCGGGACCGGGACCGGGGTTAGGGTGGGGACCGGGGTCGGCGCCACCTGGGATGAAGTTGTGCCAGTTGTGCTCGAGGTGCAGGCGCAGGCAGCCCGCCCCCGCGGCGTGCAGCACCACCTGCTCCTCCAGGAAGCAGACGCCGCCGGCCACCCGCGGCCGGCAGCCGAACACGGCCACGGGCTGCACGGCCGCCGCCGCCATGCCGCCGCCGCTGTCGCCGTGGTGACCGCGGCCCCGGCGGCCCCGGCGCCCGGAAGCGGCGGCGCACGCGGCCGGAAGCGGCGGCGGCGATGGCGGCGGCGGCGGCGCGGCGTGGGTCCTTCTCGGGCTCCGGCTCGGACTCGGAGGATTCCTCGCTCTCGGACTCGGAGGTGAGCCCGTGGCCGCCGTGGCGAGGCCGGTGGGGAAGGGCCCCTCGGTGCCGGCGGCGCGGACTGACCGAACTCTCTCGCAGCTCCAGGAGGCCTTCGCGAAGGGCGCGCTGAAGCCGGGGCTGAACGTGGTGCTGGAGGAGCGGCCGAAGCGGCGCAATGACACGGTGAGCGGGGAGCGCGGGGCCGCCAAAAGCCCCGGCGGGCTCGGTGCTCCGCGCTGCGGGGCGGGGGCCGGCTGTGGCCGGGCGGCCCCAGGAGCAGCCCCCGGTGCCGCTCGGCCACCGGGCCGGGTCGGGCCGTGCGCTGCTGTGCTGAGCTGTGCTCCTTTCACAGGACGGCCTGAGGCAGTGCCTGGCCGAATTCAGGCAGCAGCTGGCCTGGGTGGAAAGGCTGGACGTGACTCTGGGCCCGGTCGCGGACCCCGTTTCTCAGAGTGCTTCTGCGTCTGATGCCGTTGACCCTGAGAATGATTTCCAGAGAGAGATGAGTTTGTAAGTGTCAAAAGGAGATTTCATGTGGCGTCCCAGTATGTTGCTCCGTTTTTGGCGTTAGGTTTCACCAGTGTGCTACAGGTTGCTGCAGGCTGCTACGCTGGCTGTCACTGTGCTACTCTTGGCCATGTTATTTTACATTCGATGGCTCTCAATGTTTTCCAAAATAACTACAAATTAGTGCTAGTATATTAAACTGTTGTGTGACTGAAAATAAATAATTTCCCTCTTCATAGCAGACTTCATCCTTTGCTGAGTTTATTTTAAAAGCTCCTTGGTAGCAAGACAAGCTAACACAATTTTTCTTTGTGGGTTTGTTTTGGTGCTCTTACAGTTCTTTTGTTTTGCCTTTTATATTCCAACAGAAAAAACCTATAACTGGAAATAAGATAAATGTTTATGTGCAAGATATAAATGTTAATGTTGTACTGGCACCTAAGCCGCTTTCAGTAGCACTGGACGTGCACAGAATGGTGATATAATTCCAGACCAATGCGTGCTAGATCCCAGCATCAGCCTGCTTGTGTGAGCAGTTTGTGTCAGCACTGTGAGGTGCCTGACATGCAGTGACAGGGCTGCTGCAGTGACAGGCTGCTGCAGTGACAGCACCAGTGCAGTGACAGGGCTGCTGCAGTGACAG